TCAAAACTTAAAATTTCTATAACTAAATTAAATCATTAGTCATTGTTCAAAAATAATAATATTTCAGATATAATTTTTCATGGGCTTTCTAAATTTCTTATATTTCTGTAGGTAATGGGTGAACAAACTGAAAAAAATTTTTCAATAAAATACACATTTGCTCTTGGTCTGTGTATAGAATACGTAAAAAACCATGAAATCATTAGTATCCTTTTACATACAATTTTCCTTAATCCACTGAAATTGGCGTTGAAGAAAATAATTAAACTATATAGTATGCTTCGTTTTAAAATGATCTTTTTGGGCAAATATTGTGATTTTTTAAGATTTTTGTATTACTAAACTGCAATAATGAAAAATTATATATATATACTTGCAAGTTAATTATCTCCCTTAGAGCAAATATGTAACAGAAATGATAAGGTTTGTTTGGGTTTAAATACCACTATATCATGGTGGCCAGTTTTTATTGGCGGAAGAAGCCAGAGTACCTGGAAAGGCCTCCAGCAATCCTTGTAAATAACTTTAATAATGATTATGTAGTTGAAAACACCTTGCTACAAGTGAGTGGGTTTTAGGGCTGTCAAGTTTTCATGAAGCAAATGCTGAGATTTTGCAAAAATTGTAAAGATCAAAGAAAAAAACAATAGATCAAAGGAAAATGCCACCTAATAATCATGAAAATGTGTGAGTCTCATGCAAAATACGTGAGACTTGACAGCACTGTGGTTTCGAACTCACAACATGAGAGTTGAAAGGCTAGTTATCATTGTAGAGGAACTACTTAGACCATTTGTTCATAGAGGCAATGAAAAGACATGGTTAATCTAAAAAGAGGTACTGGTATAAAACAAAATAGTTCTTTATCTTTGACATTCTAAAGATAAAACCCATTGAAGGAAAAGCATGCATGTTTGTGAGTTTGATTAACTTGAACTAATTCTACATCAGATGATTGAGTAGGTCTTGGCACCTGGAAAACACAACATGTCAGTATGGAAATGTCAACATCTAGATTTGGAACATTGACAGTGTGAGAAAGTTTCTATATGGAATTTTCTTATTGAACTTTTGTCAACCTATCTATTGTTTAAAGTGATGTGTCACATTATGAACTAAGACAGTTTCTACTACCAAGGTTGTAATGATTCACTGCTGATGCACACCTGCAAATACCATGTACAAGATGTGATGTTTTCAAAACTACAAATCATATCTATTCTGTCAACAGAGGTCCTGCAACACTCTGTGAAATGAAGTACATTTGAAATTCCTACATTAAGTTTTATTTACACTTCAAGTGACAAAGTTACCACAATTATTTTGGAAATGAGCTAATGGAAATTAATACAGACATAAAGATTTGGTAGCTTCATTATAATAAACTTATGATGTCTTCCATCACAACGTGAACAACAGTTGATGCTGCGACAGAAACAGCATACCTTAAGTTTGATTTCGCCATGATATTCTGTTACTCTCTTCAAAGATGAGACAAAAGTTTAAAAAACGTCTTGACACATTAAATGTGGCAACATACCTCCTTCTAAAGTCATTTGGTCCTTAAAGCATATTGTATTTTTCAATTGAAATTTTTTCTTAGACTTATAAATAAAAGCTTGTTGTCTCATAGGAAATCATACCACTCTTCTTATTTTTATATTGCTTAACAAATAGACTAGGTTCAATGATGTGGTTCCCTACCTTAAAAGTATCTATAAAGCCTGGAACAATTAAATTCTATAGAATGCACTACATCATGTTCATCCTTTTTATATATAAAGAATGTTAAGTATCCCTGTTTAATTTGTTATTATAACTAAATGTCAGGACAGAATAATTATCTAAATTTCTACTTCTAATGTCTAACAAGTGAACTCCTACTGTGACATAAAAGGAAAGAAATATGCTTCTCAGTACTTAGTTGGTGATTTGAATATATTACAATTTAGAGAAAAAATATACGAAGGCCAGCCTTAATCTAAAGTTTTCAAGTTTGAAGAAAACAAAATTTATGCTTGAAAGGATACTAACAACATCAAAAGTATGGTAATTCAAGATTAAAGTATGTCCATTAAGGAATATTTCATATCTTAATGGCACTGCAACTTGATCTCCGAAACGCCCTCTTCCCTCTCTAAAGGAAAATGACTTTTATTAATTATTTATAAAGTGTGATCATCATCACTGCTTAAGTTGTTGGTTGTGTTTATAAATGCTTGGATGATATTTGATTCAAAGTAACAACAATAAGAAGTCTCACGAGCTTTGTGATCATTACTGGACATATTCCCCATTACTAACTGTTAAAAGATCACTTAACACTCAAACACAATTAACTTACACATGACTACCTGACCAGAAACATTCGGAACTTTTCAATAAAACAAGATCAATGTTTCTTGCCTCAAAACCCTTGACAATTACAGTCTTCAAAATTTTCTTAGGAACGGACTTGATATCTTTTAATAATTCATAACTTAGGCATCAAGAATTCATTGTTAATTCATACACCAATTACATTAGCATCTTTCGCTGCTCGGTTTGAGTTTGAATTAAGATAACTTCACCTCAAGAGGCTGTCTTTATAATTTGTGAATTTCTTAAAATGTACATTCTTGAAAGTTGCAAATTTCAATTAGTTTGTTCATTCGGGTGAAGACTGTTTACTGTTAAGATTATCTTTCAGCATTTATGGAAGATTAAATTCTGTCTCAATTTCAATAAAACCCATTAAAGGTCTCTTTTGTCATCAACAGAATAAAAGACTGTCATGCTGTGTTTAAAAATGGACATTTATATCAAACTGAATGATAAAATGAATAACAAACTGTTAGGGTAAAAATTGCCTGAAAGTAAAAAAGAACGAAGTAGTATTTCCACTAAGTTTTCATATGATTCAAAAATTTACATGACACACTGATACAATGCTTCATGAATCATTTAGCTATCAAATTGTTGGAAATCTTAAAGAAAAATAAATGGGAAATGTGTCCATGGGACACAGATGATGCCCATGCTTGCATATAACTTTATAAAGGGATATAACTCAAGAACTGTAAAAGTGACACTACCCAAATTGCACTTGATCTGAGTTTTGTGGTAATAAGCATTGTGCATAAGTTTCATAACATTTGGTTGAGGCAAACTAAAGTTAGAGAACAGAAACAAATATTTCAGGAATTTTTCCATTTGTAAAGGGGCATAACTCTAGTGACACCACCAAAATTCAAACTTGATCTGTGTTTTATGGTAATAAGTATTGTGTATAAGTTTCATAACATTTGGTTGAGGCAAACTAAAGTTAGAGAACGGAAACCAATTTTGGGACGTATGTACAGACAGACAAGGGTAAAAGTTAATGCCCCCTCTGCTATGGCAGGGGCATAAAAAAGTAAAAGATAATTCAATTTAACGGGACAACATTTACTAATATCTGATATTAAAACTCAAACTCCCAATGTAAAACTGTGAAATCTGAAGGAAGAATTTACAAATTGCACAACTGCAATGTATTATGGGCTAAAGATGTTGAGTTTCATTTTGAACCATTCAGCAGTTTGGAAGGAATAGATGATGTAATACAACTTTAATAGAATGTGAATATACTTCTTCTGATAAGCATTAAAAGTGATTGAATAATCCTGATTTGTTCCCTATAAAATGTAAGGCCAAAACTTTACAATTAATTTAGGCCACTGGAAGATTAAACAACTTCTTTTATAATTCATAAGCTTAATTCTAAAATTCAAAACCTTCAAATCATCTGATAAGTGGACTGAACTCTATTTTTCTGTATCTTAATGCCATTTTCTTGTAACTATTATCCAAAGAATGACCAAATAATGTATTGATGGTAAACCCGGATTATCTGGAGGAAATTCACCAGAAAATCTCAAAGATCTTGACAATTAATTATAACAAAATGAGAAAATACACCCACTCTTACACTGATATTGCATAAAAGGATAGAATAAGCAGAGCTCACTTTACTTCAAGAGTCTGATATGCAATTATTCAGGTGACTAAAAGATGATATCAGAACATCTTTTCATTAAATAGACGATCAATGTTTGCTACCTTTGGCGTGCAGTTACCAAAGATAAGTGTTATTCAAATGGCAATAAAAGGATGCTATTTCTGCAATTAAGGTTGTCAGCTAAAGCTATCATTAATTTTCCTTAAAGCTTTCTAACATTTGCATAAATTTACATAACTAATGGAAAATAAGCTGCTTAATTAACAAATGAAAGAAAGTAATAATTCACAAATGAAGTGCTGAAACTTATATGATACAGATTGAAATAAATTCTTAAGTTTCGTTAACAGAGTTATCTGAGGTATAATTAGTCCAGACATTTCAAATAATGGAAACTCAAGAAATAAAAAATGCATTGTTTTTTATATTAACACAAAAGATGTGATAGGGTCAATTTTGCAATAATTAAAAATTTTCATTTTTTCTATTGATAATTTACTACAACATATAACTGGTATTTAGCTGTAATTAATCTCACAATTTCACAATTTCCCCAGTTGTTCAATTTTTATCAAAAAACTGAAATAAATGCTGAATTTACTTTAGTCTGCAAGTATTCTCTGAATTTAGTTGTTTTTTATCCATGATATCGTTATAATATAATTGTGTCCTTATTTGATTTCCCTCTTTATCTCAATTTTGGAAATAAATTTTTTTTAATTTTTTTTGGTATAAGTATTCATTTTCATATACATGTAGCTGATTATAACTTTTGGTAAACCAAAAATGGATTGTGTCATTGCTCAAAAAATGCAAATGGATTGTGTCATTGCTCAAACAATGCAGATGGATTTTGCTGCAAAGATATAAAAGACTTTATAAATTACAATAAAATGGTTATTGGCATCACTTACAAAACAGATAATTAAATTATACTTCCATGCAAAAAAAAGGAAAAATGGCTTACTTTGCTTACTGGAACACTTCTTCATTTTATTTTTCATTTCTTAAAAAAGGATATGACATGCATGTGATGACCATCAAAGCTGTCGGAACCTTCAAACATCTTGTAGCTGTCTGATGGTGAACTAACGGAACAACTTGGTGATGGATGGTCAGCATGAAGAGGTGAGTGGTTGCTTGAGCGTGGATCACCAAATTGATGCTCTCCTCGATAAAACCCTAATATGTCAGATGGATTCTGTAAACTTGGATTAGGAATTGCCACACTAGTTGGAAGATGATGTGGAATTAGTCCAGGAAAATGGTGTCTCTGTTCTGACTGTTCCATATGTAAATGAGCAAAAGACATTGGATCTTGGCCCAATAATGCTCTAGCAGTTTTGGGTGAAATTCTAGTGTCTGTAACTTTTGTACGTTTCTTCTTTGGTGTATTCACAACTAATGGCAATGGTTCTGTTTGTTCTGATTCAGATAGTGGAGCACAAGAGTAGATAGATGGCGGATGCAGTAAATGAGATTGCGGAAAATAAGAAAATGGTAGATGAAATGGTAATGATGGATGTAGATGTGGAGGTCTATGAAGATCTGGAGTTAGGCCTCTTGGTGGCTCAAAGGCACTAGCTTTTTCTAAAATTCTGGCCATTTGACCAATGTGATCATGCACTGGTTCACGCATGGGTGATAATCTAAAAGGTGGTTGTGGCATCATAACTTTTGGTTTTTCTTCTTTGATTCTCTCTGGTACTTCTCTTACTGGTATTGGACTGGGTACAGGTTCAGGTTTAGACTTTGGTTTCTCATTTTCTACCCTCTTTGGTTTTTCTTTCAACAATTCACAAACTACACTTTCTACAGCATTTGAAACAGCATCAGTGATTTTAGTCTTTAAAGTGTTTGTAAGATTAGAAACATCCAATTGCTGAAGTGGTTCACTAATTACTGGCCTAGCTTGTTGGTTATTTGGTTCATCACATAGTCTATTTATTTTTTCTTTGATGGGGTTTGTTTTATTCATCTGCAAAGGGTCGTTTTCAAATAGTTTGTTATTAAACAATGGTTTTTCTAAATTCATTCTGAATTGGAATGGACTTTCATTTTCTTCTTCTCCATTGACTTGTTCATCGTCATACTGCAGTTCAAGGTATCGTTTCTGGACAAGTTGCAATTGTTGCTGAAGTTGAAGTAATTGATCTTGAAGTGCTAACTTTTCTAGTTTTCTGTATTTGTTTCCTGAATGATCTAGAAATTTAGAATCATGTTGTTGTGGTTGGTATTGTTTTCTTTTTGGTCTCCGCACCTCTTGTGAATGATTATCCCCTTGATCCCCTGGGCTTGGAGGGGACTGTCTTATATGTGATAAAATGTTTTCAACACGTGCACGCTTTGCTTCTTTATTTTCATCACCATCGACAGAGTTCCTGTCATTATTTTTCATATCATACATGGACTCGCTGCCCTCTATTTCATCCATTAATTGATTTTGATCGCTGCCATAGTCGCTCCCATCTAATGACAGTTCATCAGAAGAATGTTCAGATTCCTGTTCATGGTTGTCTCCCCTGTATGTGGTAGCCATTGCTTTCATTGTCATTTTCTCTAAATCTGATGTCTGACAGGAATCTTCTTGAATATTTCCACAGATTTCCTTTATACTGTTATTATTACCTAAGTTTTCTTGCATTTGTTTTTCTCTATTTTGAAGAATATCTCTCAATATTTGTGCAGAATCATTTATGTCATCGGTTTTCACCATCTTATTTCAGGACCCAAGTTTTTAATTGGAAAATATTTTTGTAGGAATTAAGGAAATTTGCACATCCTCAAATGGTCGATTTCATCCAACTGATCACTTGGCTATACTGTGAACCTACAAGAGTTAAAAAGTTATAGTCTAATTTCAAATAGCCTTTCTATACTGTCTGTTCACATATTAAAGAAGTACAAATGAAATATTTGGGCCTTCATTAATTTGGTTTCAACATCTGATTTTTAAACAGCTGCTTATATAAAATAGACTTCATCATGTGCAAGAGAATTGGTTTACACAGTTTGTGCTATAAAAAAAAATCTGTCATCTTGTGGGACAGATATGAATTTCTACTTTTTTACTTATATAAACAGCTTTTTGTTGACCAATCCAGTCAAAGCCCATTTCCAATATACAATACTTTTAATGATGCACAAAAATTGCTTATACAAGAATAAAATACATGTTATCTTATTTTAAAGTTTATATCAAATTTCTCTTACCAAATAATCATTAAAAATGTGTTTTAACTTTATTTTTAAAAAAGATTCTTCAAACATAAAGTGAAAAACAAAATGTTTATAAAAAATGTAATTATAGAAATGAAAGTCATATATGAAAATTTATTCATTTCATTTAGATAAATTAATTGCAATAAAATTTTCTATATGGACCATAAGAAGTACACCTAACAGACTATAAAACACTTACAGTAAATCATATATTATTTACTTTATAAAAAAATTCTATTTATTGCAGAAATTCTGCAAAGAAAGATTGCTATTAACTTTCAATTTCCTTTTGCCATAAATATTTGTAATATAGATACATTTAAAGCCTGGGGATAATCACAGGCTTGTTAAGGATGGTGGTTCTTGGTTCTAACATTTTTTATCATTACTCTTGGATTTCCAGCAAACACCCACATGTAATAGTATTGCAAAAGGTATAAAATTCATAAATATTTTTCAACAATCAAAATGAATATTTGATAAGGGTCATTCGTGAAATTTATCTGTGATGATACCTGAGGTCAAGAAAATTTAAAATATTGTTTGGATTCCAGTTTCCAATTTTGCTTAGCTCTAGACATTAATGTAGAATAGATCAGTTTCAACAATTGCACAAACATCAACGGTTTTAGAAATGTATGAGCAACATATAGAACATATTCCCTATAATCTGGGACTTAATATATCCACTGTTAGTATACTATTCCCAGCCATAATTATACACAATTTTGTTTAGATCAGCCAAGGATTTGTATAGTAATACACTATACAAATCCTTGGATCAGCTGATTTCGCTTTTTGATAGTTCTGAAAATAACTCAAACATGCCAGAAATCGTAAGTTTAAAATACTGTTAATTCTAATATCAAGTTGTAGATGTTCAACTGTATAATGAAATTTCCCCTTATTTTGAGTCTTGTAAAGAGAGAAAGGTGATCAACAGTAACATGCTATGAAGAAAAAATCAATATTTATCCATATTTTATTTCCTTCAATAAAGGTAAAAAAAAAAACAATTATTCATTTAGTCATATATATTAAAAACATATAATCTATATTGATTTTTTTTCCAATATTCAAATCTAAGTTTATATTCATTTTCTTGCAAAAAAGGTTCTTTTTCTTACAATTGTAGTTGTTTTTCTTTTGGGAAATTTTGTCATTAATATTGTGTCCCAAAAAAGCCAAACTTTATATAAAGTATGTTACCAATATTTCATACACTTTATCGCATACACCTACACCGGTTAAATTATTAAAAGTTTTCATATCACCAAAAACAAATTATGAAATTTATGGATATTATTTTAGTTAATTGATTAAACAGAAACGACTCTTTCAGATAGAAAAATCTGAAAAAATTGCAAAATTAATGTCAAATAATATCACCTTATTATGTTTATCAAGATCAAAATGTCCAATTTCTTATACCTGTATATAACTTGTTAAACTTTTTGTTTTTACAATTTGTACAAAAAACAGGGGATGTGCTTAACTTGAAGAATTATATACCATGTGATTTTTGCATAAAACTTATTAATAAATAAGGTTTTGCAAAGTTTAAGTAAAAAGGTCTTTCAAATAGTAAGAACATTCATCTAGATTTAACTTTTCTACAATAAAAAAAATTATAAAATTTAATATAATTTTGTCTCATTTTTTTAGTTGGAACATGAAAGGCCTTTCAATTATATAGAAAAAACACTGTAGTATAAAATTATGTTGTTGGAACACAAGCACTTTTCTTCTTTTTTTTTTTAAAGTTTTAGACTAAATACTATTTCAGAGTTGACCAAAATCAATGTATATGCTATTTAGGGATGTCATAATTGTGACATGGTAGATTTATTTTCTTATTACATTTGCATTGCTTTAACTTCAAAAATAAAGGTAAATCTTCAATTAATGTGAAAAAATATCTCAAATTAGGACATTATGGCAGCCTTTCCTGTATGTTTTTAGTGAGCTCCAAATTGGGCTTGTAGGATATATATACTATATGATCCTATATATATATATTATACAATTTTATTAGGTGCTTTTCCTCCTGTAAAACTAACGATTTTGTTAACATTACAATAACACTTTTTGTAGAGATTCAGTTTTAAGTAACTGACCACACCAACAACAGTGTTTTTTTTAACCAGTTTTTAATTATGATCAATTATCATGCGCAACTTGCCAGAATATTCAGTATGTTGAATGTGGGGAGTTTATGGGAGATGAAGACGAGCTTTCAGACTTACGATAGGTTATTTTGTAACCTGAGGAATAATGTTACACTATAAAACTGATAAAAATAATAAACTGTGATGAAAAGCTGGTCACCTGTCGCGGACATCCTTGGTCAGTTTAATACAAAAGGTACAAGTGACCACGCGACATCGAAATTACGTTACCTGATTATTTGACAATGGCGCGTGCGACAGGTGAGAAAGGCCTGACGGTGATTTGTTTAATAACAACGGCGTAAAAGATGTCATCTTTTATGGTGTTTAAATATAACCCTCTTATCACGATTTACATATGCTACTGGAAATAATTAGTCCATCGGTTTACCTGGAAAATATTCAATGGCCAATAAGGGACAAGACGGCGTATTGGCTGAAGGTTATTATCTCGCACCGTTCTGCCATAGTACACGACACGCGACATTCATCGGCCTTCTTGTGTAATGTGACAAATGAACCACATAATACTATAGCTGTCCTACAATTATTCGGCCTTTAAATCTTTAAGTGTAATTTCTTAAGTCTATTTAACTTAGTCAAATATGATTTCAGTTAATGGGACAATTTATCAAAAGTCGATTATAATTGATTATTTGATAATGGCTTCAACAGCTTTTAAAAAATCAAATAAATCATCTAATTCAACTTCACCCAATGATTTCAATACCAAATACAACTAAAGTTGCGTTTAAAATTATATTCAATTGCATTATATATTTTTTTTAAATTTTCTATCAATTTTGTTTATCTTTTTTATTCCCTTTCGTTTTGATATTTTTTTGCACCTGAAATTGTTAACAAGTTCAGCCAAAATTTTAGTTTCTTTTAGGTTGTTTATAGTTAAAATAAATAGTTTACCTGCTTTAAAAGAAACCTCTCCATCCTTCAAATAAAATTTTATTTTCAATTTACTTAAGAGATAAAAAGATTGGTCAAAGTTCTGAGGTCCTGATAAATCTTATTACATCAGTAGTCAAAATTGATCCGATAGTTATCAATATTTAGGATAGTGAAAACTGTATTATTGTACCTTGCACTTTTTTTTATAGAAATATTGCCAAGATCTGAGATCATCGTCGGTTGCAGCCTATAAATAACTGCTTCCCCGTAAATAAGTGCGACCAAAGGTAAGAAAGTGGGAGATATCGAGAACTGAAAGTGAAATATAGATAAAAAGAGGACTTTAACCTTTTTACCTAAATCTGATAAAAAAAATCACATTTAATTGTCTGTTATTTAATTTTCTACTTCATATAAACACATATTTTATTATATGTTTCTGGTATGAATTAAAGGTATAGTAACGTGCAATTTAAATTTGGTGGAAAACACGTTTAATAATAGAAAGGCATTCAATTTTTGAAGCCCGGGAAAACTGAACAACTATATGAATTTGTTTATAGTATCGGTACATTGAAATATGAAACAACAGGTGCTTTGGGGATTTCGTCAATTGATAAAATTGTTTTTCTCAGGTCTTGGCACGATGGCATATTTCTTTTGATATTAAATAAATGTATGAACTATGAATTAGTAAATTCAATAACAAGATATCAAATGTAAGATTGTTTATGTAAATCAAATGACTTGAAAACAAAAATATTAAAAGAATGACAACTTTTTACATTAAGTATTTCCCCCGTAATCATAAATTATGTGAATTTAATTATAATATGGTATAATGTGACGAAAAATAAACATTATGTTCACAAAAAATAGAAATAAACAGTATGCACATTAGTCAAATAAAAATTTTAATAATACCAAGAGATAAACAATATCAATTAATTTATCTTTATAAAATCAGTATAACACAATGATATTTTATATTTACTTACATTAATAAAATCTGTACTCTTCAAAGTTTTCTTTTTGTATCCAAAATTTCAAAGAAATGAATTATATGTTTTTTTTCTGCATAACATACTATATCTGTAATATCTGTATACTTGGTGACAACTGAGATAATCAAAATCTCATTCTAAGTAAAACTTGATTGAATATTAGAAACCCACCCCAATCACACGCGACTATACACTTGATCGATGTACACTCGTGGAAATTCATCCTTAGCTGATTTCTTATTGGTTATTGTTAAACCACGCCTACGACAAGATATTTGAATTTTTTAAATGAAATTTTACGATTTAGAAGAACTTGGTTTGGAGAAAGCTATTAGTTATACAAAGGAATAATACTTCTGTTCCAAAGTTACACAATTTTAAAGATTAATTGATGGACTAACATGTTATTTCAATATGATTTTAGAAAGCATTGAACTCAACTCGAAACTTTTGATTTTTAAAACTAACAAAAAAAGTAACGTACCGCTTTACAATTTTACATTGAACTGATATAAAAGACGTTTGAGAAAGCCGAATTTTTATTCACAATTACTCAAAACTGCATGGTTTTCTTTTGTATAAGTGACCGGAGTAGTTGTCCACGACCTGGAAAACGTGTCCCCTGAACTATTGATAAGTTTACCTCCCCATGGAAGCATCATTTTGATTTTTAATTCTATTGTTAATTTCAGTTGAAAAAAAATAACCTTCCATCCACCACACCTTTTTTGGATACACATTTATATTGAAATTATCCGTTTCTGGCTTACCGTCATTCAATGCGCATTATCACAACCGTGTAGCTGGCTAGATTTTCGTTACTTTGCGCAAAGGAGTAAAAGATATAAGAATGCCATCAAATGTTATTTCAGAGGTACATTTAGAATATTCATAAAATGTAGTAAAATTTAAAGAAGCAAACACTTTATGCAAACATGCATATTGGATAAAACTTACGAATTTCAGCGATCACGAAAACATTTACTTACATTTGCAGTAAACATTTTACGTTCTGTAAATGCATCTGTCAGATTATGTTACACACTTTCTAATTTGTGTTTGTAACTATGTATACTGTATTGTTTATTATATTTGTAAAAATAATATTATAATGATATTATATTATGCTCCTTGTGAGCCCATTTGATGGAAATAAAGCATCTTCTCTCTTCTTCTTCTTCTTCTTCTTCTTCAGATTTTAAAAGTTATCCTTGTTTTAAAAAATGGATACTGCCTTGGCAATAATACCACATGTCATCTTGGCTTATTTCTGAATCCACCTGAGACTACTATAACACATATAGTAGTCTCAGAATCCACATATAAAATTACCAAATCTTGTATATAGGCGACAATATTTAAATACTTTAAATGCGTGCGTGTAAAATCGGGTAGTTTCTGTCATATCCAATATCGCGAAATAGATGAAAAAACTAAGAATTTTTATAGCAGGAAATTTATTTCTGTTAAAATCCTTGTTAAATGTTAAAATAAGGATTTGTGGTATGACTGCCAATGAGACAACAGTTAATTTGTGTTATTAATTGCGCGACCCCGATTAAGTCTCTATCGAAAACTGTTCAAGATATAAACCGGTCGCTATGTAATTTGAAATAATATTTTTTTTCTATACGTCATAATAATGAAAAAAAAATAAAAGGTTAGTCAGTGTGCTCGTTTTCGTAAAAATTCTAATTTTCCGATGAAATATAGAAGCACCAGAGAAGTTATAAGGATTTTTTTAAAATTCAAAACAAGAAAATTCAAGCAAGACCCTATCAAAAATATAATTATCTAAAATATTAATGAGGGAGGGGGTAGTATTAGTGGGAAATTTGGATTTGTTTTCAAAAGAAATTTCGTCTTCTTGAAATGTTTTTTGCTTGATAAAGGTTAACTATAAAGTGGGATATGCTTGATTGAATTGAGATAGTATACCTTGTAATTCCGCCAAAACCAGCAACACTGTTCACCTGGAACTTCCTCCAAGACGGGTGAAGTTTTATTAAGTTATAATAAGTAAATTCCTCTAAAACTAGCCAAATTTTATTATCGGTAAAAACTGAAAGTTTCATTGAAATATCTATTCAACTGTTTGAGCCTTGTCGTTTCTACGTATTTGTTTCGTACTTAAATCAAATCAAGAATCTTTCAACTCGGTACGCTTTAAACAAAAATACTTCCGAGAAAACACACACATAAAGCGAGATTCATTTAGTGGAAAACTAATTTTATTGAGTTTCATTGCAGCTGGGATAAAGAATTCATAAACAAAATTCAAAAAATAAAATTTGGCGCTGTAATAATATTCAAATGCTTTAGTTGATTATTAATACCATTGCATTCAACAAAGAAAACATAGCTTTGCCATCATCGCCAACTTGAAGTTTGCTCTCAGAACAATTAGAGTGTAGACAGAATTTACAATATCTCTCTACCTGGAAGGTTTTTCCAAAACTATCGTAATAGAAGAAAGACAACTCCAAATTATTTAGTTCAGAATGCATACAGAAAAACTACACGAAACGATCCATATGTTTATGCCTAACCGTTTTTATATTTTTTCAATTTAAAAGTACCTTAAAAAGGATTGATTGATTGTTGGTTGCTTAATGTCCAGTGGAAAATATTTCATGCATGTTCAGGACGATCCTTATAAAGGATATAGGATATCTTGTATTCTTTATGATATATCTTTTAAACTAAATAGGATATCTTGGGACAGACTAAAAAAGCAAAATAAAGCGAATGACTATGACAAGCCGTTTTACTATTTATTCTAATTTCAAGATATCTAATAACCTTTATAAGATATCTCATATAGTTTATAAATATCTTATATAGTTTATAAGATATCTTATATTGTTTATAATATATCTCATATAATTTATAAGATATCTCATATAATTTTCTTAATAAGATAAATTATATGAGATATATTATAAACTATATGAGATATCTTATAAACTATATAAGATATTTTTATATAGTTTATAAGATATCTTATATCATTTTAAACATATCACTTATACAAATACTTTATGACATATCTTGTACATTTTAGTTTATAAGATAACTTTAAAAGTATATAAGATATCTTTTTTTTTTATTTTATTGGATATCTTATACAGGTTTTTTTATATGATTTATTTATCAGATATCTTATTTAGTTTAATACATCTCTGATAAGTTTATATAACATATCTCATTTAATTAATAATACATAAGATATCTTATAAAGTATATAAGACATCTTATTAACTTCAAATTGAATAAGATATTTTATAAAGAATACAAGATATCTTGTTTACTTTATAAGACATCTTATTTTTATAAGATTTCCAATTAATTTATAAGATATCTTATTAAGTTTATAAGATATTTTTGTTGAATATTATATCTTATATAGTTTATAAGATATCTTTTAAAATAAACCAGATATCTTTATAAACTATTTGAAAAGATATCTTACTTAATACATAAGATATAGTATTTAATATATAAGATATCTCACTAAGTTTATGGGATATCTTATTTAGTTTATACGATATCTTGAAAATGGAATAATTATAAAAAGTGCTTGCAATATACATTTGAAATACTAATTCCAAATACAAAACTTTTTATCATAGGAAAGATGGTCGAATCTCTACCGTTCCTGGTAAACAGATCAACTAAATGGTTTTTGTTGGTAGGATATGGTCTGCGTTTTTTAAATAATGTGACGTGGTATCATTGCCAGGAGACACCTATCACACAAAAACATGGGACAACTACAGGTCACCATACGGCCTTCAACAATGAGCAAAACTCAAATCGTTTAAATAATAAGCTGCTTAAAGCATCATTTTATCAAAAATGTGAATTAATTCAAAGAGAAATCCAACGACCTGATTTTACTGAAACGATTAACAGTTAACATTCACGGAAGACCAACTTCAAGCACTGGATTACAGGTTGCTGATCTAGGGCATTGGTGTGACAGCACAATCACTGGCGTCGTGGGGTCCAGTTTTAGGAAAATGAAAGAGGACACTGACTAACTCATAGACTATTAGGCTATAGAAAAGCTTTTTCCTTTTTTGTTTGTCATTTTCAGCAGTTTGCCTCCTACTCTTCGGTCAGTTCCCACACCACTGATAACAAAGGAAAAAAAAACTAAAAGTTCATTTTAAAAAAGCTTGACCTATTAGATCTGAAGTAAGCACAAAAATACACAAAGTACCGATCTTAGAGTAATCGCAGTCACTGAAAGATAGTTCAAAGTCCAATTTCAGCTAATATAGACTAAATGTTGCTCGCAATGTTTAATCAGTCTTATCGTTTTGTTGATGTAGGTTTTTTTTTTTGCTGTTGTTGCTTTCTAGTGTTCATCAAATTGTAGTAGATAGATGAAATATTACAATTTGCAGATATCTTGATATGGACTGCTAAAATACAACCGACTTAGTTCCACGCTTTTGTAAGTTGGCAACCCTGAAAATGAATATATATATATATTCTCATGTTTGCGGTATACCATCTTTTCCGCAAGTTTATGTTTTCTGTTTGGTATTAAATTAATAGTTAAGATCCATTTTGTTACATCTGGTGATCCGTTTATTTGGCAATCGCCAAAGGCAGTCAGCAGGGTTTAAGAACATCCGTTGTTCGACCTGCTAGTCAAATGCGTTTTGTTAAAATATACTTTTTCACTTTTTTGGTCTTTCGAAAAATGTTGTTTGTGCTGTATTTAGACCCCTCTACCAAGAAATTTGTTTGCATGCACATGTATAAAAATTGCGGTTTTATCCAACGCAATCATAGGTTTGAACGTTGTTTTCAATTTAAACTTGTTTATATATAAATATATATATTTGTAGTTTTTTTTATGGTTGCCGTGCGATTGAAGGCAAAATGGCTTTTTGGGATTCAAAAGTTCATGGTTTATTTAATGAACGAGATGTAAAGTGACATTCGAAGGATTGTATAGGAACATACTTTTTTTCGAAGACAATTCAGTCTTTAGTATCATATAAAAATTTACAAAATACACAGAAATGTGTTCAAACTTTATTAACAAAATTAAAATCTAGTTTAAATTTCATCAAAGTAGTGTCTTTGTTTGCTTTTGATCATATTGTTATCATAAAGTAGGTTTTTATTCAAAATA